CCTTGATTTAGTGGAATCTCTCCATCCTCTCCCCGTGGGCATAAGCAAATTGACGAACCACGTATATCTCTGTGTTTGGTTTAATTTGTCGTATTTTGGATTGGATGTGCTCATGTTTGGTTTGGTTATCTTCTCCCGTAACTAGCAGACTCGTTTGGTTGTCAAGCACGCTTTCACAAAGGCGGCGCAACACTTATCACATAAAACAATTTCCCATAGTGCTCTCTCTCCTTCTGCTCCGGCTTAGGGGTGGATTTAGGTCTTGTGTTGGGCTGTGGTTACACCCTTGAAAGTTTAAAAATTACATACAAACCCTTATAATATTCACAATCTGCCCTCCGCCCCCCTCCCCTATAAAATTTCAAAGTTGCACCTAAATCTATTTAAAATACTAAATACGTTCATAGCAAATTTATTTAACCCGTTGAAAGTGAACTGAGGGCATTACATTTAGGTACTATAGTTTTATAGTGTTATGTTTTTATTTATAAGCAAATAGATACATGTAATCAAGAACATTCAAAAGTTAGAGGAGTATAATTGTTTGGCTTGTTTGCAAGATGGACTAGTAACATTTACATGGCTATATAAACTAGTTCACAAAGTGCAAGGGCAATAAAAAAATTTGTTTATTTTATATATTGGAAGTATTAATCTAATTTTAATTCGTTATATACCGATGTAGATTTGGGTTACGGAAGTGGGATGAACTAATTTCTTTTATGCAAAGAAAGATAGCTACTCTAATAATTTTGTATTTTTAATGTCTTTTTATAGCATTCAGGGAGAAGAGACTCACATGAGGATAGCAGTGCCCACAAATGAAAGCCGTGTATGCCTGATTTGACAAAAAACATCATATTAGCTAAAAATTATTATGCAGATAGAGTATAACAATATGGAAAAAATAATTAATGGAAACATATGTTGGTAAGAATTTCATTAAAAGCACACTTGGTAAGAAGTCAATACATATATCAAAATTGTACTCACCGAAAATTAGTGGATTTTATTACCAGACTAGATAGCACCTCGGGTTCAATATTACATGCCAGATGCAGACACACCCCCCACCCCCCACTCCCCCCACCCCCCCCACACACATATATATATATAATATCATATATATATATATATATCTATATATATATATATATATATATATATATATATATATATATATAATATATATCATATATATATATATATATATTTATTAATATATATACACACACAGTGGAAAAATCCAGTATCCTTGACGTGCTTCCCGTCAGGGATGTCAAATTTCCCGTCAGGCCGATACAGTATCCTTAGGACGGCGCTCCCGCTCAAGCGATACGTCACGTCAGGAAAAGTACCCGTCAGGCATTTAAAACCATCCCTGCACGAGCTAGGGGGGACGGCTGGGAGCCGTCAGCTAATGTATATTCACTGACGGCAATATTATTGACGGCGAATCCGGCAGGCTTTTGGGCGGGGACGGGGCGTCGAGCGGGTGCGTTAGCATGGGGGGGCGGGATGTCAGTAATATTGAAACATCGCTGACGGGCATTCCGTCAGCGATGTTTCACGTATCCCTGACTGGCGATCCCGTCAGCTGATAGGACCATTACTGAGATAGTCTTCATCGGTCGCCTGTACACACGAAACGCTGACGGGTTTCCCAGTTAGCGCATAAGTATACGCTGACGGGAACCAGTCAGCGATACATTTAGTTATCACTGATGAGCCGTCAGCGATACAGTATCGCCTGACGCCCGGATCCCGGTCAGCGATAGCACCCATTTAAAAAACCAATCGCCTATGAAAGTTCCCGCTCAGCGATAACCTATCGCTGTCGGCGCTAATCGTCAACAATGTTATGTTCATTCGCTGACGCCAGATATCCCTTCTGCTCAGCCATACTTATGCGCGACGGGCCTACCCATGCTCACCACGATATGCACTAGCCAGCAAAAAAAATCTGGTGATTACCTAAATCAATTCCCTGTACATATCATCAATTCCTTGTACATATCTATATTCCCTGTAACATATCATACAATTCCCTGATATCTCATCAATCAATTTTGACAAACAACACCATACACAAACACGATAACTTCCAAATCCACAACAATTTTCACAACAAACCATACACATGTCATAAGTTCTAAATCCATACACATCAAACCATACACATGTCACAAGTTCTAAATCCATACACATCAAACCAAACAAACCATCCAAATTCGAAATATGTACATAATATCGCCAGTAAACCATACACATCAAACCATACATAAACACGATAACTTCCAAATCCACAACAATTTTCACAACAAACCATACACATGTCATAAGTTCTAAATTCACATCAAACCATACACGCATAATCTCAACTATAAAGATGTCCACAATATACAAACACGAGTTTAGGATATAACTCACTAAGATAGGTCATCCGTCCTATCCATGTCATCGTCCACGTTGCCACTGGCGGATCCATCCCTACGACTCGCGCTCCCAATATAATTTAAATTTAGAATCACATAATATTGTGTGTAATCATATTTTACATATATAATAAGTATACATGTCTGCTACTCTCTCCACTACCAGTAAATGCCTTTTGAGTGGCCAAGAAATTCATGATCTGGCTTTGCACCCGAGTAGGAACCCGCCTTCTACAAGATTTCATTATTTGCCTAGAAACCATCACAAAAGTAGCAGTAGGATGGATCACTCGCATAAGCTCCTCTTGAATATCCTCACACATCTCCTCGGGAATCTGACCATCTAACATACTCATCACAGAGAAAACAAGCTGCATCGCCTGCTGAGTGCAATCCTCCTGCGACATGTAAGAGGGCCCCGATGGCATAGTCGAGGGTGTGGAAATCGGCGGAGGCTGGAATTGTGTAGACACCCTCTGAGCTCCAACTCCCATCCACCTGGTCCTCCCTTTTTTAGGAAGTCCACAAACTAGATGGCTCACATTATAATTCTGCTCTCTAGTTAGGGGCTCTTGGCTCTGTGTAACAACCTCAGAATACGTGTTTTCCAGAGCTTCCTAGAAGTCCAAAAAATAAATTTAAGAATTAGCCTTTCAAAAATAAAAGATATTTACCTGAACAAGTAAAATAAAAGTACATGTGAAGGGTGTTTTGTGCAACATAAAAGTACATGTGAAGAAGGGTGTTAAGTGCTAATAAATAGTTGTTTCTTATGCATTGTTATATCTTATGCATTGTTATATCCTAACAAGTAAGCCCCTCATATTTATAGCTATCTGGAAGTAAATATGCAATACTCTCTTAAGAGTCTGATAAGCGCATTAAAAGCACATTGTGTTTTTTTTGGTATATCATCTAATAATTATATACCAATTCGATAATTTAGCCATTAAATTTAGTTGGGAGCAGTTTTTTTTCATAATAACGAGGTATTAATACCGAATCTTTGCTAATAGTCATTGTCATCAAAAGATCAAGCATGAAATCATTAAAACATGCAAAAAGAGATGACAAATGTGATGAAAGAATAAAAAGGCTACGGTGGAGAATGCACACACACTTACATGATTTTAGAATGCAAACTGTTATTTGAATACATGATTTTAGAATGCACACACACTTACATACTTATACACATGTATGCATATGTGTGTGTGTGTGATGTGTGTGTGTGATGTGTGCGTACGTATGCATATGTGTGTCAGTGTGTTTAATTCTTATAATAAATAGAGATTTCATATAGATGCATACATACACATCTACATGCATTCAAGAGTTGAAGCTATTATCTCTAATAAATAATTATATAGAACATATAATGATTACATGACTGCTACTTTTTTGGCCTATCATACAGTTTTAAGACTTTGCAAAAGGGACATGACTTTGCTCTTCAACTTGAGAAAATGCTTGACATTATCTAAACTTAGATTTATACAAATCAATATCTTATAGCAGTTTCTACTTCATCCTCTAGTGCAAAAATGAAAATAAACAGCTTTTTATATCCTAACAAGCAAGCCCCTCATACGAATGGGTCATAGTAACTCGGCTAATAAGATGACCAAAAGAAGAGTACAAACAATAGAAACACTACATGATAACAGGCTAATAAGAGCTAAGATAATTAGTTAACCTGCATTTTCTTGGCCAATTCTAGCTTTTGTTTCTTAGCCTCATCGTCATCGTACCCCTTCTTAAATTGAACCACCGTTCTCCTGTGCAGTTCTGGTAGTGGGATAAAGGGAGCGTTCTGAGATTTAAAAATATACTTATTAGTTTTATTTATTAAATATTCTAAGAAGCGGAGAGAATATACAATGATTATTAAAAGACTTTATACCGTTGTCCTACAAAATTGATCCTCAATCTGGGCAAATAAATTAGTCCCCGTATGATGATCATAATTTTTTTTCCATCGATTAAGTTTATTTCTCCTACATTTTTCCTTCAACATGAACAAAGAGAATTTTAGTACATGTTATAATATACAATGGAATATATCACTAGTTTCAGATAAATAACTTGATGATAATTAACTACTATACATATTTACCTGGTGCTCCTCTTAGCCCCACAATATTATAAGTGCAGCTAAGTGCTCAGGCTCAACCCTCTTATCTCGCTTGTATATCCTCTCCCAGTTGTGAGTGAAACAATCAAAGCATTTCTTCTTTATCTCATGTCTCCACTCCCGAAGAGAATGCTTGAACTTTCCCTGGTATCCAAATAAAAATTCCCACCCTACGGGATTGTCTTCGATGTTGAAATATCTCTAAAAAATAAAATATAGTTAAGCATGGACAATTGACAGAATTGAAAAATAATTTTGCTAAATATAAGAATTTACCCAACAATCTCGATATATACTCTCCAGGGCATGAAATGGCTGCTCCCAAGCCTCGTAATAGGGATTCACATTATCACTCCTCCATATCAAACATCCAAGGTATGAGCTGAAGTTATTAGCCCACTGTCCGGTTGGAATCCCATTATGTCCCCATCTCACAATTGCTCGAAAACCATCGATGGTAACTTTTTTTTAAAGTCACTTCCTTGGTGTCCTTTCTTCTGGTAAAGTTTTTCTCCTATAAAAAAGAAATAATAGATATATCAACACTTTTATTTAATCAATCTTAAGCTCTTAGAATTGATTATGTTTTTTTATTAATAGACTCGGAATTGATCAAGTTTTTGATCAAACTCACCAAATCTTTGTCTGATTTTATTTTTTATATCAGACAAAATCTCATCAATCTGTGGGGCCCATTCATCTAATCTTTTTTTCGCAAGCATGTATTTTTCGTTCTGCTTGAGTCTGTACCCCTCTGCACATGCTGGTAAGGGCCCGCGCTCAATCCCAGGAATGTATGCTTGAAGTATAACTGCAGGATCTGCATATAATGGTATGTGAGTCGGCTCTTCCTCACCCTCACCTATAAAAATAAAAGAAATAAATTATCATTGTGCATCTATCATGAATAAAAATACGTAAGTTAAACTAAGTTATACCTGATCTCTCCTGAACTCGGAGGCTCTTCATCAGTGGATTGGTCTTGATTGGGGTTAGCTTCGAATAACCTCCTGTTAATATTTTTAGACATCTACAAGTTGAATAAACATACAAATTAATATAACATAGATGCAAATTAGCTTGGCGAAAATAAAAACAATATGTATTGTTGCATTACTAAATTTTTCATTTCACATCAAGTTTGTAGGCATTTGCAAGCTGAATATACAAAATAAGATATTACATATTTATATCGTCCAAAAGGTAATTGAGATACATTGTAGTGATATTAAAGTTTTTATTATACAATTTGCAAACTAAAAAAAGTTACATGAAGACCCGATTTGTTGGAGCATCCGTTTAATGTCTGTGATAATATTTGGAATGTCTGTCCGAGTTGTTGAAGCATCTGTTTCAAACACTATGTTTTGAGGGTACGAGAATTCATCGATCGCTGTATTTGGCTCATTGAAGTTGTTTATATAGCTCTCGTCATAATCTTCATTCGTGGAAGGTTGAATATAAGCCCTAGAATCCTTGTACAAGACAACCCACTCGTCTTTAACTGTAGGATCTTTCACATAGAAACATTGTTCCACCTGAGATGCAAACATGAATTTTTCATCACTATCAATTTCTTTATCGAGATTGACAATTGTAAATCCAAAGGGATCCTTTTGAGTCTTTGTAAAACACCAACGAATCATGAACATCATGTATTTATGTTCATTTGGACCACCATAGCCGTAGAATATCTCCACCACATCTTCCAACCTTCCATAATATGTCATATTATTTTCAACTGGATTCTGATCTCTTCTGTTTGAGAAACATTCCTTAGAGAAGGTAGCCATGACACCACTATTCTGAGTGACCTTCGTATCATCAACCTCCATTGTGTAAAATTTATAACCGTTAACACGATACCCACCATATTGAATTACAGCATAGTAAGGCCGCTTTGCGTGAACCTTCACTTCTTCTGATATTTGATTATTAAGGACAAGTTGTTCCTGGATCTAAATATATACAAAAATAAGCAAACTATTAAATCAATAGTTTCTAAGTTTTTCATCAATGAAATACAAATATCGCTAAATTTAACAATACTTACTTCACTATTCAACCAAGCAGAGAATTCTTTCATATGCCTTTCTTTAATGTCATGTACAGCTGTACTACCGATAACTTCATTCTTAAGTTTTTCCTGATGTTGCCTATTAATGTGCATAAATTTAATTATTATTGGCAAAATAAAAATTTTGTCAAAATAGAAATTAAAGAGTAAATGGTATTAAAAATTCTTTTTAGATATTTTACCTCCAGTACTCCGAGAATATTTCAAGATTATTTATAACATATGCATGCGCTTGATCTAACAATTTGCTAGAATAATTTTTGTTCAGCCCGCGAGGATAGAGAACTGTGTACTCCTTATTATCAACGGGTGCTAGAAGTTCAGTTTGTTCCCCTCTCATATAACTGTTGAATATCATATCTCCATGATAATGTTTTGATGATAACAATTTATACAGTGTGTGCACTAACTTTTATATGCAGATTTCAATATCAGAATATATACAAGTGCAAGTTGATTTCAAGGCATTTTGAAGTGAAGAAAATGAAGAACAAAAGAGATAATGTATTTTATATTTTCTTTACTTAGAATATTTGTACAAGCCTTGATCACACACATGCACACACACAATTTTAGAACTTATAGTATAGTCGACTAATAGTGATTATAGTCGACTACTTAAGTGTTTGACAGAAACATAAGTTTCTGTGTTTTTACAGTATAGTCGACTAATGTCAACAGTAGTCGACTACTGAACTCAAATTTTATTTTATCAGTTTCTGTCAAAATACAGTGTAGTCGACTAATGGGCTTTGTAGTCGACTACTGAGAAAATTTTTCGAAAACACAGAGTCTGTTTGATCTCAGTGTAGTCGACTAATGTCAACAGTAGTCGACTACAGATACAGTTTTTCCAGTTTTCAAAGTTTGAATATCTGACATTTTATAGCCGTTTTTAAACGTTTTTAAAGTTTAAAAACTTGTCTTTTCAAGGGCTATATATAGGTTATTTGTTCAGAAAAATTGCAGAGACTTACATACCCATAAGCTTTGATCTTTATGCACTTTTTCAAGTGAAAAACATTCAGATTTTGTGAAAAAGAGAAGAGTTTGAAATTTCCTTCAAACATTCATCAAATACATATCATTTAGGCAATTTACAGAGGTTAAAAGAATCCTAAGCCACTGCTGCACTTCACTACACATTCAAGGCTTATAGGATCAATTGTGTTCTTGCTTCAACAAGGATTTCTCTCGGGTGTGAGAGGGTTAATCTCTTGGTTTAGAGATTGGTGTTCAAATTGGTAAGGTGTTTGTCAATTGGTGTTGCAATTTACAGGGACTTACAAATTGGTCAGGTTTGCGTTTGATTTTGTAAGTTTATTAAAAATCATAATGAAACTCTCAAGCGGGATTTGCTTGGGGACTGGATGTACACCGGATTGGTGGAACCAGTATAAAATCCTTGTGTTTGTTATTGTGAATTTCTGAGTTTACCATTTTTCTTTGCAATTTATAATATACTTTGCATTAATTTTAAAAGAACACTATTCACCCCCCCCTCTAGTTATAGGAAATATTTCTGACAAAGTAACTACTAGATCTCATTTTAATTTGATTGCTCATAATGCTTTTATTTCAACTATTGAACCTAAAAATATAAAAGAAGCTCTTCTTGATGATTCATGGATAATTGCTATGCAAGATGAACTTAATCAATTTACTAGAAATAATGTTTGGGATCTTATACCTAGACCTCAAAATAAATCCATTATTGGAACAAAATGGATTTTTAGAAACAAATTAGATGAATTTGGTCAAGTTGTTAGAAACAAAGCTAGATTAGTTGCTCAAGGTTATAATCAAGAAGAAGGAATTGATTATGATGAAACTTATGCACCAGTTGCACGATTAGAATCAATTAGGATTTTACTTGCATTTGCATGTTTTATGAATTTTAAATTATTTCAAATGGATGTTAAAAGTGCTTTTTTAAATGGTTTTATAAATGAAGAAGTTTTTGTAGAACAACCTCCAGGTTTTGAACATGAAAGTTTTCCAAATCATGTTTTTAAACTTAAGAAAGCATTATATGGTCTTAAACAAGCACCTCGTGCATGGTATGATAGATTAAAGAAATTTCTTTTAACTTCAGGTTTTGATATTGGAAAAGTTGATTCAACATTGTTTATTAAGAAAATAAATAAAGATATTTTACTAATTCAAATATATGTAGATGATATTATTTTTGGTTCTACTAACAATAATCTTTGTCAAGAATTTGCTAAGAATATGCAGGATGAATTTGAAATGAGTCACATGGGTGAACTAAATTTCTTTCTTGGACTTCAAATTAAACAATTGAAAGAAGGAATTTTCATCAATCAAAGCAAGTACGCAAAAGATTTACTTAAAAGATTCGGATTGGAAAATTCAACAAGCAAACCAACACCTATGAGCACTACAACATCTCTTGACAAAGATGAAAATGGTAAGAATGTTGATCAAAAGCTATATCGAGGTATGATTGGATCACTTCTTTACATTACTGCTAGTAGACCTGATATTATGTTTAGTGTATGCTTATGTGCAAGATTTCAATCTAATCCTAAAGAATCACATCTTAAAGCAGTAAAAAGAATTTTTAGATATATTAAAGATACTACAAATTATGGTTTATTTTATCCTAAACATAGTTCTTTTGATTTAATATCATATAGTGATGCTGATTTTGCCGGATGTAAATCTGATAGAAAAAGTACAAGTGGAACAAGTCATTTCTTAGGACATTCACTTGTATCTTGGTTTAGTAAGAAACAAAATTCAGTATCATTATCAACAACTGAAGCTGAATATATTGCTGCAAGTCTTGCATGTGCACAAATATTATGGATGAAACAAACTTTAACTGATTATGGCATAAATTGTCCCATATCATCAATTATGTGTGATAATTCTAGTGCAATTAATTTATCTAAAAATCCTATTCAACATTCACATACAAAACATATTGATATTAGACATTATTTTTTACGTGATCATGTATTAAAAGGTGACATTACATTAGAATTTATACCTACAGATAAACAAATAGCAGATATATTAACAAAACCCTTAAAAGAAGAAATTTATGTTAAATTAAGAAGAGAATTAGGTATATGTTCAATTGAAGATTTAAATTAATTTTTAAAACAAACATATATAAATTTATACCCTAATTAGTTGACTAATGTGGCTTATAGTCGACTATATGTACAAGTCTTTCTAATATTTTTTCCTGAAAAATTTCAATATAGTCGACTACTTACCTTTATAGTCGACTACTTAATGTAAAATCTTAAAATGAACTTTCTGTTGTTTACAGTGTAGTCGACTACAACACAGATTAGTCGACTACTCTGAGTTAAAATCTGAAACTCATCTTTCTGTCAATTACAGTGTAGTCGACTACTCTCACTATTAGTCGACTACTGATTCTGAACTTTCAGTTTTACAGTTTTAAGCCAAGTGGATTTTTTTTTTTTGATTTAAACCCAAAAACCAATACCCATACCCGTTTCACTTAAGTAAAATTCATCTCAACCATTCTTTTTCAACTACATCAATACTAACCATACATTTAAGATCAAATCTTAACCCTACATTCAATTTACTATCTAATCTGAACCATACATTGTTTTCTTACTTAAAATATAAAGTAAAAAGCAAAAACTACCCTCTAACTACACCCAAAACCGAAACCCTATCTTCCCTACTTCAGAGTCATCGATTTCAGGTTAGGGCATTTCTCTTTTCTCAATTTTCTCCATCAATTTCTTCAAATCTTTCATATCTGTCAAGCATTCAGGCTCTGTAGTCGACTAATCCAACCTATAGTCGACTAATCTAGGGTTTCTACAGTTGGAGTATTGCTTCTAAACTTGATCTTTACATTTTCTGTTATTTATCTATCTAATATTGTCTAGATCTAAGAAAGCTAAGCAAACCCACACCTCTATCAATGATGAAATCATCATATATTTAAAAAGACCTCTATCAATGATGAAATCATCATATATTTAAAAAGTCCTGATTTATTAGAAGAATTTAACAAATTATCATCTTTTGAAGTTCTTCCAGGACGATAATTTAACAAATTATCATCTTTTGAAGTTCTTCCAGGACGATTTGTGAAATTTGATGATTTTATCCCCTAGAATTTTAGTTCATATTTTGAAAATGTGGGATTACTTGAACTGTTCTCTGCTAAAAATAAAAAACCCACATATCCATTTCTTGTTCAACTGTTCTATACTAATATAGAACGTGTGGGAACTATTGGTGGTTCTGAAAATCTCAAAACTCTTGTTAAAGGAATAGAAATTGACTTAACTACAAAGTCAATTGGTAAAACCTTCAATATTCCTTATCAAGGAGTTTATCTTAGGTCTGTTAAGTTAAATGATCCAGATTTGTTATCTAATCATATATTTCTTTCTGGATATGGTAAACCTTTAAATAACTCAAACAAACTTCGTCCAATTCCTAGGTTCATTGCTCGAATCCTAGCCTATAACTTGTTTCCAAAAACTGGAAGTTTTCATTTCATTTCCCTAGATTTATCAAAAGCTATATATGCTGTAATGGGAAATATTCAAGTTAATTGGGCTGATGTTTACTTTGACAATCTTCTGACTATTCCTAGAGTATTTCTGCCTTATGGTGCATTCCTAACTAAAATATTTGACAAATTCCATGTCGATCTCCAATCTGAAAATTCTGTTGTCCGTTCAATTGAATTTTTTGATTCAAATGCCCTAACTAGGATGGAATTGACAAACTTTGAAATTCAAGAACATAATCCTCAAAATGAACCTGATCAAAATGAACCTGAACCTCATCAAGAAGAAATACCACAATCCTCAACTCAAGCAGGAGCCTCTTCAAGTCAACCACCACCATTTCCTAAAGAACCATCTTGCTTTTTAGACGTGCAATACAACACTTTGAGTGCACGTATCCTTGAACTTGAAACTGGTCAAAGAGCTCTATATGCACAGAATTCATACATCATTAGTAATCAAGAAGACCTAATCAAGAAGTTTGAAGACTTGGACACAAAGCTTAATACATATTTTTAAGGACAGAAACCTCCTCCAGTACCTTAAGATGTTTTTATGATTAGTGTCAAAACAATTATGCTATTTTGTTTAAGTTTCAAAAACTATGTGATTGTGTGTTGTTAGGACTTATGTAATATATTTCTTATGTTGCTACTATGTCACTTATGTTAATTATGTGTTTTTATTATCTATGATAATGTTTGGTTAGATAATGCATGTGCTATATATTTTAAACAGATCATGGTGATGAACATTATGAAACTTTTGGTCTTTATGGCAAGTCATTGCCTACCTATTTGGATGGGTGCAGTTATGGACTATGTTCATAATCTTGATGATTTGTTTGAAGTTTCAGCTCATGTTGAAGAAATAATGTCATGTTTAGCTTCCTCTCTTTGTTGATAACAAAGGGGGAGAAATAATTATGTTCTGTTATGTTTATGTACTATTATAGTTTAGTATACTGTTATAGACTTAAATTTGCATATATGCAGGGGGAGTAAGTATTATATGCAGGGGGAGTAAGTATGATTATTTTAAGTCTTAATCTGATACATAAATTATTTTGTTATCATCAAAAAAGGGGGAGAATGTTGAATATCATATCTCCATGATAGTGTTTTGATGATAACAATTTATACTATGTGTGTTATACAAACATTAGAATTATAGTTAAAACTTGATTATAAAAACTTTTTATTTCATAATTTTTACTCTTAGTAGTCGACTAATTAGATTAGTAGTCGACTACTCATGTATAAAACTCAAATACATAATTCTGTCAATTTACAGTATAGTCGACTAATAGTGATTATAGTCGACTACTCAGGTGTTTGACAGAAACATAAGTTTCTGTTATTTTACAGTATAGTCGACTAATTTACATTATAGTCGACTACTTAAGTGTTTGACAGAAACATAAGTTTCTGTGTTTTTACAGTATAGTCGACTAATGTCAACAGTAGTCGACTACTGAACTCAAATTTTATTTTATCAGTTTCTGTCAAAATACAGTGTAGTCGACTAATGAGCATTATAGTCGACTACTGAGAAATTTTCTGACTCAGTGTAGTCGACTAATGTCAACAGTAGTCGACTACAGATACAGTTTTTCCAGTTTTCAAAGTTTGAATATCTGACATTTTATAGCCGTTTTTAAACGTTTTTAAAGTTTAAAAACTTGTCTTTTCAAGGGCTATATATATATTTGTTCAGAAAAATTGCAGAGACTTACATACCCATAAGCTTTGATCTTTATGTACTTTGTCAAGTGAAAAACATTCAGATTTTGTGAAAAAGAGAAGAGTTTGAAATTGCCTTCAAACATTCATCAAATACATATCATTTAGGCAATTTACAGAGGTTAAAAGAATCCTAAGCCACTGCTGCACTTCACTACACATTCAAGGCTTATAGGATCAATTGTGTTCTTGCTTCAACAAGGATTTCTCTCGGATGTGAGAGGGTTAATCTCTTGGTTTAGAGATTGGTGTTCAAATTGGCAAGGTGTTTGTTAATTGGTGTTGCAATTTACAGGGACTTACAAATTGGTCAGGTTTGCGTTTGATTTTGTAAGTTTATTCAAAATCATAATGAAACTCTCAAGCGGGATTTGCTTGGGGACTGGATGTACACCGGATTGGTTGAACCAGTATAAAATCCTTGTGTTTGTTATTGTGAATTTCTGAGTTTGCCATTTTTCTTTGAAATTTATAATATACTTTGCATTAATTTTAAAAGAATACTATTCACCCCCCCTCTAGTGTTCAAGTGTATATATTTCAGATCCTACAATAACGAGAGGCAAATAAGAGACACTCGCTTCTCACGTAACTTTCAGCTATTGAACCTTCTGGGCGAGCTCTGTTACGCAATTGACGCTTCATTGAACCCAAATATCTAAAAAAGGAATATTAATCAGATATAGATGTAAAGAAATTTACATTTAATAGATATAAATATTGATAGGTAACGATTAAATTTTTCTAAATACTAACCTCTCTATTGGATACATCCAACGATAATGGACTGGTCCTGCTATTGCAGCCTCCTCCGCGAGATGATGTGTAAGATGAACCATTATTGTGAAAAAAGATGGAGGAAAGAGCATCTCCATTTCACACATTGTTTCAGAAATATTTTCTCCAAGTTTCTCAAAGTCACGGGCGTCTATAACTTTAGAACAAAGCTTTCTGAAAAATCCACAAAAATCAATAATAACCTTCACTATTTTTTTATTCTGCATAGTACTGCGTAGTGCCACAGGTAGCAATTGACGAAGAAGCACGTGATAATCATGAGTTTTAAGCCCTAATATTTTCATTTCTTGCACCTGGACATAGTTCGATATGTTTGCGGAATAACCCTCTGGTAACTTTATTGATTTGAGGAATTGACAAAATGTTTGCATCTTAACTTTCGACATTGTAATACGAGACGCAGGCAACTCTAATCGGTCATTTCCAACATTTTTTGGCTGCAGTTCCTCTCTAATGTTCAATGCAGTTAGATCTCGACGAGCTCGTAGATCATCCTTTGATTTATTAGCATCTTGCAACAATGTGGACAAAAGATTATCACAAATATTTTTTTCAATGTGCATGACGTCCAAGTTGTGACGTATTTTTAGCTCTTTCCAATAGGGGAGTTGAAAAAAAATGCTGAATTTTGTCCATCCTGAAGGTAATTTTACGACTTTAGCCCCATCACTCACCACTTGTGCTTGTCTCTTTCGTTTTGGCATCCTTTTGTTAATACGCAAGTTCCTTACTCCAAGTAAATCATCTTTCGAATAGCGCTTCTTTCCAAAGCTGACGGCAGGGAACATCTCAAGGAAATGTACAATCTGATCCTCACGTAATGGACGCGGAGCATCTCTCTTCTCAACAGTATCATCAAAAAACTTGCTCCATTTTTTAGTTCTGTACCTGTGTTTTATGTTCAACCACCTTCTATTAAACCAATAACAAAACTTTCGACTGTGCTGCAGATAAAGACCTTTGAATTCTGGACCACACACTGGACATGCATATGTTCCCTTTGTAGACCAACCTGAAAGATTCGTATAGGCTGGAAAATCATTAATTGTCCATAGTAAAATAGCACATAGTCTGAAAGACTGCTTTGCATGAGTATCATAAGTAATAACCCCTCCAGTCCAGAGTTGTTTTAACTCATTAATTAGCGGTTCTAAAAACACATCTATGTCATTGCCTGGTGCATGCTTGCCCGGTATCAATAATGAAAGTATCATATACGGTTGTTTCATGCAAAGCCAAGGTGGTAAGTTGTAAGGCGTTAATACCACAGGCCATGTAGACCAACCAGAACTCATTATCCCAAATGGATTGAATCCGTCGCTAGACAAACCTAGTCTAACATTCCTGCACTCATTCGCAAACCAAGGAAAAGTTCTATCCATATGCTTCCACGCCTCTGCATCAGCCGGATGTCTGATTTTACCATCATCAGTACGTTCTTCCATGTGCCACCTCATTTGCTTAGCAGTGTCTTTATTCATATACAACCGTTTTAGCCTTGGTATTAAGGGAAAATGATGCAGGACCTTTGCTGGAATCTTATTTTGCTTAAGCATAGACCTTATTGTCCCATGTGTTGAATAATTTTTGCGTTGTACCCACCGTGATACTCCACAAATTGGACACTCCTGAAGATCTTTGTTATCCTTATAGTAGAGGATACAATCATTAGGGCATGCGTCGATTTTATTGTAATCAAGTCCTATAACATAAACAATCTTCTTTGCGTTATCATAATTTTCTGGTATGCTATCTTTTCCATTTGGAATGACTTTTCTCAGCAACAAAAGCAACATATTAAAATATTTATCCGCCATTCCGCTAAGAGACTTTATACGCAAAAGACGCAGCATAAATGATAACCTGGTGAACTCGGTACAACCCTCATACAGATCATTTTCATTGTCGTTAATTAATTTCATTATCTGCGCTAGCTCCTCATGATCAGTCACGCAGCATTTCCCGACTCGTCAGCATCCTCGGCATCTTCAGATTGATCTATATTAGGAACTGTTAACATATCCGCGAGCATCGTATGTGTATCATCTATTCTCGTATCATCTATTCTCCCACCGGACATACCGATATCCGCCATCAGTTCCATTTCTTCAAGGCATCCTTCCCCATGAAACGTCCAATATTTGTACTCCTCATGAAATCCGGATATTAAGTGTTTCTGTAAATCACTTTTATCCACCAACGATCTATTTTTACACCAACAGCAGGGACAATACATGACATCACTATTTAACTTCCGTGGGTCTGCCAAGGCGTACTGTATCAATTGATTTATTCCATCTTTATATCAACTATCCCTCCATCTATCAATACGAGGAATATCGATCCATGATTTGTCCGGAACTATCCTCATAGATCTGTATGATATTAAGCATAATTAGATAATGTGAATTTTTATTATTAACGCATCAAATTAAAGGTTGCGTGATATTAACTTTCTTCACGATATCAAGGAAATTTTAATTATAATAATCTAGGAGGGAAAATTACCAGAACATAAATTATGTGGGAGTAAAATCTAATGCTCATATTTGAAATAAGACAATTTAACGGCTGTCATATATATAAAAGATGCTATTTTTTATAAATTATATTTAATGTAAACCCACCATATTATTTTAACCATACTTTTGACTATGGTCATCATTATTTTAATACGTTTGATTGATTGACTAAATAGGTATATAAACCATATATTACTTTACTTTCTCACATGAACTAATATTTGGCGCTTAATAATTTAAATTATTACTTTTAAATTTAATATAAAGAGAAGCTCTAATAACATTTATTCATTTACTTACAGGATAATACAATCTCAATTCTTATTTTTGCTTGAGATTTATTTCATAGTTACGCGTATCAAATTAATAACTACAATGTAAAGTTAACCAATTTTGTAAAGCCCAACTACTGGCTATAAGCATCAATGTTTAATCTTATATAATAAAATTGATTTAATACTGAATAGTAATATCGTTGTAATAATATTATTATTAGGAAAAAAATTTCATGAACCAGTATGTTCTTTATGACATATAAGCTATGCACTCTAAATTTTTGTGTCTTTTATAGGTCCAAAAAGTTTGAATATGAGCCTCTAACATTTTGCTCTCATAATAGCAAAATCCACTCAGCAGATGTGGATATTCCAGATGAGTTATATATTCTATATACAATACAATTGCCCTAGGCAAGTAAGTTATAATAGCATTTTTCATTCACATTGTTTGGAGCAAGATATGATAGGGATCTTGCATCAAAGAGAATTTTTTTTATATTTAGAGCACATAGTGAAATATATCATAATCTCTTTGCTCTAATTCCGTAAGAAAATAATTCTTTATACTTTCAGTTTTACTTCTATAATACGGAGAATGCTGAACCATACATTGATGATATTATTCTTTGTAATATTTTTCAAAGAATAACATTTATCAATTCTTCAAGTACAGGGATTGCTCCTCATCTGTTTCTTTGTAATATTTTTAAGGTGTTTGTAATTTGCAGTCTTACTTCGGTTTGGTAAAAGTTTATTAAAAGTTTTACTTCTATCTAGGAGTGTCTAAAAAGCCCGCCGGCCCGGGATCGTCCCGAAGTCCGGCCTAGGCCACTGCCTGAAAACTTGGGCCAAGTCCGGGCTCCGGGCCAGGCCTGAGCCGACTCTCCCGACCCGGAATAGTGGTTTTTTTATTTTTATATATTTTTATATTTTTTATATGTATTATATATGTATAATATATGTATATATAAATATATATAATATGTATAATATATGTATATATAATATATTTTTATATATGTATAATATGTGTATATATATAATATATGTATATATATAATATATGTATATATAATATATTTCTATATATGTATAATGTATGTATGTATGTATATATACTCTCTCTTAGTATATATGTATATATAAGTATACTCTCTCTTATATATGTATACTCTCTCTTATATAAGTATATATAAGTATACACTCTCTTATATATGTATAATATGTGTGTGTGTGTGTGTGTGTGTGTATTTATATACTCTCTCTCTCTTAGTATATAAATATATATAAGTATAGTATATTACAACGGCTATTTTTTCCCCATCGGCCCAACGGGCAACGACTACTTATGCGATTCTCTCTCTCTCTCAAGTTATAACTTATAAATATATACAATATATTTACATATAATATATGTATATATAATATATAGTTACATAATAATTTATAAGTATATACTAATACATAATTATATAAAATATAATAATATTAAACTAATTTTTAGCATTTTTTATCAAAAAAAAAGAAAAGAAAAGAAATTTAAAAAAAACCTAGTTGGGATGTACTTATCTATTGTGATGCGATGAATTCCAAAATAAATTTATACTTGTAATTTGTAAATGATTTATTAATTATTAATAAAGAATTTATTTTTATAATTTTTTATTTGTAATTTATGTCATTTTAAGTGATTAATAAAATTATTTACTCTCACTTAATGGATTCGTATTTGAATCCCAAGAATATTTTTATCTACCGAAAGTTTCTCCGAACTCGTGCTTTTAAAAGGAGTATGGTATATATATATATATATATATATATATATATACCATACTCCTTTTAAAAGCACGAGTTCGGAGAAACTTTCGGTAGATAAAAATATTCTTGGGATTCAAATACGAATCCATTAAGTGAGAGTAAGTTAATAAATTGATGAATTCTTATTAGTTATACATAATATGAGGATAATGATACAAAATGTATTTAGATTATATTAGAATCAAGAAATTATACAATTGACCAATTTGATTTCCATTGGGTTCAACTACAAATTTATGCTACAAAACAATATTTATTGGGCTTAGGCAGGTCCAACTCCAAATTTATCAACTCTAGTAAAAATGTCCAAAATCCAAAATAATTGTTCACATGAATTAGATAAGGAGTTTATATTTATCTTTAATTTAATAGTTTGCTTTATCTTTTCAAGGAGTTAGATTATTATTGTTATATATATGAATGTTTATTCCTCATTGTTGGAATTATGTCTTTGATTATTTGTATAACTTTATGAGAATTAGATAGGGTTAGAGATCTATCATGATTAGGAGATTGGGTCTCATCATGATTAGGAGTTTAAAAGCTATTCTAATTAGGAAGTTAGGCTAGAGATAGAGTTTTGGTTTTCCTCTATATATTCTTCTATTGTTGGAGGAAAAACCAAGCTGAGGAAAGAGAGCCAATATTCTTGTAATCTAGGGTTAGTAGAGAGCGTAGCCTGATTCAAGAATATTGTGAGAGAGGCGAGGGTTTCGTAGTCTTTATCCATGCAAAAGATTACATCATTGGGAGAGGGTTTCACGGTCTTTGTCCGCTCAAAAGATTGTAAGGAGAGGGATTTGGAGAGAATATGAGAGTTGATTATGTATGTGAGGTTGAGAGATTGAGATATGAGAGTTGAGTTGTTCCTCTTGTAGTTCTCACTGATACATAGTTGATTTCCTGAATTGTTGCCCATGGACGTAGGTCGAAGTTGGTTAACTGAACCACGTAAATTTTGGTGTTCTTTCTTCTTGATTGTGGTTGTTTTATATTTTATCGATTGTCGGTTATCATCTGAGTTGTGGAGATCATAGTAGGTGGGGAGACTAAAATTCATCAACAATTGGTATCAGAGTTATGATGGATCCGAGAGCAAATTCTCAAGATAGAAGGCGACATCGTGCAAGATTGAAGATTGACGTTAAAAGAATCAAGATGAAGGGAAAAGGTACTGTAGCAGAAAATACTGTAGCAGCGGGAGAACACTATTCATGTGGGTGAGGATTTTCTTATAAGTTATTAAATAAAATCCGACGGGGCAAATTGATTTATCTTTTGATCGAGGATTTGGAAGCGAATTTTGGTGATCTAGGAGTCGTTCCTAGGTTTTTTGATATGCGGAGTTTGTTTTTTATGTCATTTTTATCAAATTCAATCTCTATAGTGACTAATTGAAATTTTGATTGTGGTTAGATTATGATGACTTCTTCGGGTCCGAAGTTTGGTATTCTGCTATTCAACTGCAAGACAAATCTGATGGCATATAGGGTAAATGAGTATGCGATGGATAAGACTGGTGTAGAGAATCAGATTAGCAGTAGTATTGTCAACATATAATTATTCAGAGTCATCATGGGAGTAGTAGTTGGTTGGTGTTTAGACTCGAGGAGGACAGTGCCAGATTAGGTCGAGTTTGCAAGCAGGCATGACTGAGTGACACACATGTTGATGAAGATGGTAGCATTAGACTTGAAGACGATGAGCGCTCATATTCAGTCCAAGCCAAGTAATGGAGGAGATGGAGACATCTGGTTCATAGTGTGGAGTAGGAGAGGTGCACCAATATAATTCAAGATGCACGATGCAAGTAGAGTACGGGGACAACAAGTGGGGAAATGCTACTGTCAAGTTTAATTCAGGAGGAGAAGAATGGTTGATTTAATTTCAGAGGTGGCGAAGATCTCTTGGTGCGCACAAAAGAGGTGGAGGCACCACAGCGAGGCAGATGAAAGTGAGGGTCATATTGGCATCCAATTAGAGTGCATGTGTTCTGATTAGGAGTGCATGTGCTTTGATTTGAAGTGCGAAAATAAATAGAAGACTCTAGCGGGAGAGACAAAGTTTTAAGACATCTATGATATATCTTCAAGGGAGTTTGGGAATCAAATCTAAGGTGGAGATTGTTGGGATTGTGTCTTTGATACTTTGTATAACTTCATGAGAATTAGATAGGGTTAGATATCTATCATGATTAGG